TTTTATATAATTATAAACACTAAAAAATGTTCAGTATTTAAAAATGGGCAAAGTCCACTTTTGGTCCTCCATGTTTAGGGAGTATCCAGACTGAATCCCTATTATGTTTTGGTGCCCAATTTTAGTCCTTAAAACCAAAAAATGAGTCCCTATTATGTTTTGGTGCCCAATTTTAGTCCTTAAAACAAAAAAATGTAGTCCCTATAATAGGGAAAAATCCACTTTTAGTCCTCCATGTTTAGGGATATCCAGACTTAATTCCTATTATGTTTTGATGCCCAATTTTAGTCCATAAAACAAAAAAATGTAGTCCATTTACCTCAATTTCTGTGAATTAACGGTCCATTTTTGCTCGACTGTGATGTTCTTTATTTTTTAAAAATTTGTTGATTAATGTCAACTTTGAAAAAGAAAAATAAAAGAAAATTTAAATGCTGAAAATATATTAATCAAAAATTAAACTAAAACAAGAAATTGCACCAAATTAAATTAAAATTTTTGCTCGTCTGATTTCTATTTCCCTAGCATTCGTGCTGCGGAGCAAGCCTGGAATCACAGCTACTGCTCTTGCACCCATTTCCGGGTCATGCCATCGAAAAAAATTGCACCTATCAACCCTCTGTTTTTTAACCATTTCTTATCATATTCCAATTGAAGTTCACAGAAAGTACTTACAGGATATAGAGGGCAACTCAAGAATCTTCTCTCGGGATTATCATCCTTCCAGCATGTAGTCAACTTTGCAACCAGCTCACATCTACAAAATACCACACCATTCCATCCATTTGATCGGATTTAGTCTCTAGGCGGTCAGGTTTTTTTTTTTCTACGTTTTTTTTTTCCTACGTTTCACTGCAGTTCACCATTTCTGCCTTTTATTTTACCTTTTTTCAGCATTTAAATTTTCTTTTATTTTTCTTTGGTCAAAGTTGACATTAGTCAATAAATTTTAAAAAAATAAAGAACATAACGGTCGAGCAAAAATGGACCGTTAATTCACATAAATTGAGGTAAAAGGACTACATTTTTTTGTTTTAAGGACTAAAATTGGGCATCAAAACATAATAGGGATTAAGTCTGGATACTCCTAAACATGGAGGACTAGAAGTAGATTTTTCCCTATTATAGGGACTACATTTTTTTGTTTTAAGGACTAAAATTGGACACCAAAACATAATAGGGACTCAGTCTGGATACCCCCTAAACATGGAGGACCAAAAGTGGACTTTCCCCTTTAAAAATTACTAAAACATGTGACAATGAAAATGAAAAGGAAACGAAAGGGTCACCTGAAAATTGAGATGGGAGCGTGATCGAGGGTTATAATGCGAGGTGGGTGCGTGGACAGTGTGGGTAAAGAAATTAATAAAGGGGGTGTGTGGTGTAGTCCATTTATTTAATATGGCCCACACTTACACTTTCATTCAATAGCATTTCCGTTAATATTTGTTCTACCAAAGTATATCTTACAGTTCATTAAGATTATTGTGAAAAATATCCCAATCAAACACTACAAAAACGAAAAATGCCATTTTGAAATTCTTGAAATTCGATGGGAACGAAAAATACAAAGTTTCTCAAGACTTCATAACTTAAAACTTTTACATGCGTACTTACAATTTTTTAGAACTTTGATATAAATACGATTATTCATAGGAATCATAAATCTAAAGGCACTGCAATTTAGAAATAACTAGTGCGTTGCCCGTGCGATGCACGGAAAAATAATATTACGTTTGTATTGTAAATTAAATATATAAATAACATTAATCATGATTTATCCATTGTTTTTAAATTAAACCGGATTGAACGCAGTCCGACCAGATGGACCGAGAACCGGTTTATAACCAGTCTAGTTCGCTTGAATAAAATATTTGCTATCGAATCCGTCAACACCAGTCAGTTGAACTGTTAGGATCGCTATGATTTTTTAGATAAATTTTGTTATATTTAAAATTACATATTTAAATTAAAAATAAATTTATAAATTATTTATCAATTAGTTTAAACATTTGAATTTATAATTGTCTAGATATCTAAGTAACACATTTTATTTAAATTTATTACAAAATGTACTATATATATGTGTGTATATATCTATTAAAATGTTTATAAATTAAAATCTGAACAAATCACAAATGGTTTAATAAAAGATATAATTTTGACTGATCTTTGTTTATAGGCTTGACATTAAAACTGATTTTATGGGATTTTTTTAACTAAACCGATGTAGGGATAAAACAAATCTATACTTACCTTTGACTTTTCCAGCAAAGGTAAAAAAAGCGATTCTGATTTTTATCCCATAACAAATCTTTAATGTCAAGTCTATAAATACCAAAACAAATCTGTAATTAATGTCATTCTATTTCCAGCAAGCATTAATTACCTTTGACTTTTCTGTGTACTATTTCTAGTAAATAGGATGACTTTTTATATAAGTATAGACCAATAAAAATAAACCACAAATCAACAATTAATAAAACAGTAAAATTTGGTATAAGAATAAAAAATATATCCTACAACAATATGTATAAAAGAGAGCAAGACAGTAGACATCAACCAAAAAAATAATGATAATAATAATAATAATAATAATAGAAAAGAAGTAGATTCCTTAATTTCAATATAATAAAGTGCATAGAGTAATTTCACCTACTTTAGAGATTTTTTAAGCCAGCCAGCTTTAAAAATAAAAAATAAAAAATAAAGCCAACCAGTTTTTCACGAGTCCATACTTCTAGTTCAACATTATTTTCTTTGTTTACATAGATTAGGAATTCAATATTGATGTTTATGAATTTTTTAAGACGATGCCAATAATCTTTCAGTATCGTTGAATTAGAAAAAAAGTGTGGCGGTATCATTTAATTTAAGAAAGTTGAACTGTCAACCAATTATTATTTAACTCGGAGTAATTTCGATTTGATTTTCTGAACAATATTGTATTTTCTGAGCCTTACAAGATCGACCATTATGGGATGATGAATAGATGATGAAGGCCCCTCAAAATTGTTCAAATGGTAAGATTTAAAATATACGATTACCTCAGATGAGATCTGAATGAATTTCTCTACTCTATAATTTCATATCATAGTTATTGTATCAAATACTAGAGTTTTTCTAGAGGACTTGAAACATAATTACAGGGATATAATTGTGTGCGTGCTCGTGCAACGTAATTAATTGATAAGTTAAAATTTATTAGATTATATAATGTCTTCAATATGCATGCTATCACACTGCAAATCATGCAACAAATAATTAATTGAAATTAGTTCAAACTTAGATGTTAACAACAATTTCTTTGATATTCCGTCACACTTGAAATCATGTAAACTGGTGACATGAAGACAAGTAAGAGGCTACCATAGTACCATGGAAATCTTGGATCTTGCGGCCATGTCAAATGATACTTTGTCTAAATAAAAATCAGTTTCATAATTATTATTATTGTTATTATTTATTTATTTATTATTTTTTTGTATGAATTAGAAAAAAATGCCCAGTTAGGTCGTGACTGGTGAGGGGGGACAAAAAGGGGACTAACTATTAAAAGAGGATGTAGGCCAGTCTTGATATTAAATAACAAGTGATTTTTATTAAAGGATTTCAAGTCAAGAAAAGAATATTAAGTATTGACGAGGCCAGTTAAATGAAACGACACTAGCAAATGAAACGAGACAAGCAATGTCAGGATAATGGCATAGGGTTTGTAATTCAAGTCCTATCTCAAATCCTGACGCATGATTTTGTACCGAAATTTCGTATCATTGGAAATAATTTTGTCGATATGTGGGCATTTTCTTGAGATTAGTTGAATATTACCAGAGTATCTATAAGTTTGGAAACATGAGAGCGGAAAGTGGCATGTGTCCAAAATGTGATGAACTTGTTGAGAAAAGCAAACTTCTCACCGTGTCATGTCCCTTCAGCTGAGCTGACAGGAAGTTAGAAAGCCTCACTTCCCACAACTAAGGTTGCCATTGACTACATATTATAATTAACTTTTTACAGATCGAATAGTTTTTTTTATTGTATTTAACTAAAAATTCAACTCAAATTTAAATTCAATTCAATTTCCTTTAATATTAATATTACTCAATCATTATCACATCATATCAACTTCATATTCAATCGCCCAATAAGAAAGCTTTGTTGTCCAATGCCCACATCATATCAACTTCATATTCAATCGCCCAATAAGAAAGCTTTGTTGTCCAATGCCCACTAAGAAAGATTTGTTGGAAGTCCAATGCCCACTAAGAAAGATTTGTTGTCCAACGTTAAATTGCCTTTGCCAATACAACGTCAAACATATTTTTTATTTTTTTTATTTTAAACAAAAAAAACATTCAGGAGGGGAAGATTAAGGCTGAATCCTCAACTTGTATATAGTCAAGACTCTAAATGGACCGAAAAATCACAGGTCTACACAAGTCCAACAAAAAATCTAAAGCAAAAGCGAGAAAAGGAAAAAGACAACAACTAAAAGGAAAAGTCTGGACCTGGACATATAAATGCACAGACAAATAATCTGCTTCACAAACTGGGTCGAAACACAAAAATACAGGACAGCTCTTAGAGTCTAACGAGGAGTAGCCCAACCGATCTATCTCCACATGAGTACAAAGCCAGATGAAACGCAATTATTGAGTTTTCTACATTTTATTTGTTAATTCATTTGCATGTGCTATAAAAAGACCTTCGAGTCGGGTTTAGTTAGAATTTGTGGTCGTAGTAGGTGCACGTGTATTTTTTTGAGAGGTACGGCTTTCTATTGAAACCATAAACACGTCCTCTGACAACTTCGTTTTTCCAATTTCATTGTAGGCGGCATTTGTAAAAACCGAAATTCTGGAGGCTGATTGGTCTAACCTTGAAACATAATTGGGATATTTTTTTAGTTTAGAAAGAAATTTTCAATTTTTTCCTTTAAAATTCATAAGATTTGGCAAAAAATCCACTGACAAAACTATCACTAATTCTGATTAAATTATCTACGTTCATTCTTCTATCATCACTCACACGCATTCATGGGTGTGTGTAAGTGGTCGCAACGGTAAAAACACAGTACTCTATCACACACACACACACACACACTCACATGGGTATGTGTGTGAGTGGTCCTACTCTTAGCGGCAAAAACCAAGTGTGCACTACCCACGTAGGGATTTCCCCATGTTATCTTCAAGTTCAACACCTAACACAGCAGTGCAAGGGAAGTGCAAATTTTTCACCAGATGAACACAAACAAGATAATGTACTTCTAAAATCAAAATCGTCCGCAAATGAAATGTCTAACAAGCCAACAATATTAAATTCTTCCACTAAGAAGCCAAGAAATGTTATATTATATCTAATAAAAGTACAGCAACACGTAGCAAAGTCATACCAAAGACCATTCCAAATGCGCACGCCTACGTTTTCCCACGAGTGACAAAACCACATCGAAATATGAGAAACTCCCTTCATTAAATCCTTCTACTCGAATGGCTCTAAGATGGCACTGCACATTTGACAAGAAACGTGTACATATATTATGCATTGAATTGTAGTTCTATGATACATATGCATTCTTCAGGCAAACAAGGCAATCACAAACGGTAGACTGGTGAAGATAAAACAACAAAATAAAATAACTTACTGTATGTGGATGTATCAATCTGCTCAGGAAGCTCTTTAATATCGACTTCAAACCTCTCCTGAACCTGTGACATGACGTCAAAACAATCTTCTAAGTGTCTGCACAAAAGCAAAAGGTTGGCAAATTGATCTTGTAGATGGAAAGTTTCAAACCTGATTTAGTACATCTGAATCAGATGCTGAAGAAACAAATGTGATGGCAAGCCCTTTCGTGCCAAACCTTCCTGCTCGACCCACCTGAAAAGTTGAAGAGCAAGTCAGAGGCCGATATTTAGGATTGATGTCAATCAATACTAACTCAAAAGTGTTAAAAAGAAAGAAAAGGGAAAAAAAGAGTACTTACCCTGTGCAGATAAGTGTCAGCAGAATCTGGCATATCATAGTTAATCACAATGTTCACTCGTTCAATGTCGATTCCTCTGCCGACCAAATCTGTGGCTACTAGAATCCTCTTATGCCCCTCTTTGAACCCCTTGTAACGAGTCAATCTGTATCCCAAAGTGAAGAACATTCAAATTATGTAAGAAAATAGTAACTATTCGCCATTATCTACTTGAAATTATGTCATGGAAGGCACAAGATAAAATAACATCATGTTGGTGTTCATTCTCAACATCACTGCCTTTAACCAACCTAGAATACATTTTTCCATTTTTAATATAAGATAAAGTGAGCACTTATCAGCACCAAAACCATCAAACATTCAGCAATGAAAACGAAAAAAACACAAACCTTTCTTCTTGTGACATGCCTGAGTGAATGCATATGGATGGGAAATTACACTCAACAAGCAACTTATTCAGCTCGGCTGCTCTACTGACGCTTTTGACAAAGATGACAACTTGGTTGAAATCCAGCGCATCAAGAAGGTCATTCAGCTTCCGGTTCTTCTCCATTTCACTCAGTTTGATGTAGTGCTGTCAGAAAGGCGATATCAGCTTAACCGAAAAGTATAACTAAAAAGACCAAGCTAGTGAGTTCAAATTTCAAATGCTCGTACCTGAACAAGACCATGGAGGGTCAGCTTGGCCTCATCATCAACGTATATTTCCATAGGCTGAAAGATAAAAATGTCATAGTAAAGCACATTAGGAGGCCATCGAAGCTTATAATGGTAGCCAGTAAATGAACGAAGGTCAAAAAAATCCCCCATTTTGAGGCAGCAGTCCATCTGAATCATCTCCGAGCAGATGTTTTGTTCTCATATCAATTAACAGTGACCACCGTGACTCAAGCTACACATTTTTAAACTGATGACATAAGACAACCTGAACCCTCTATGAGATAGATTGATCCCCTATTCTAAAGAGAGATAGAGAAAAAATAAAAGAAAAAAAAAAAAGACCAAAGGGGCAGAAGAGCCTATAAAACTTGCAAACTTCTTATACTCACTCCCCCATACTGAACCTTTAAGTTGAGCGATCACTTTCATCCGTTGAAAAGATGAACACGTAACAAGACAAGTACACAGTGCATCAACCACTGCATTCTTGACAGTGCCGCCATCAGAAATTGGGAACAATGAAAACAAGGCAGACTTCTAATATTCAAGGACTGGCTACAGGACATTACATCTTGCATGAATTTCTTGCAGACAGGTCGAATCTCCTTGCTGAGGGTAGCAGAAAACATCATAACTTGCTTGTCATGAGGGGTCATTTTGAAGATCTCCTGCACGTCCCTCCTCATATCTAGGGTGAGAAAAAGAAAAGGAAAAAAACATAGTCAGCAAACATATAAGCAAACATATAGCATAGTTAAATAGGTGGCCGTCATGAAAGAGATGCTCTGATGACATGGCTTACCAAGTGACTCGAGCATCTTATCACACTCGTCCAGAATGAAATGCCTCACATTCCTGAGGGACAGTTCCTTGTCTCTTGCCAGAGCAAGTATCCTCCCAGGTGTCCCAACAACAATGTGAGGGCATTCATTCTTTAGAAGATCTTTGTGGATTTTAATGTTGACACCCCCATAGAAAACAGCAACTTTAATATCTGGCAAGTATGTGCTGAACCTTTCAAATTCGTGACAGATCTGCAGACAGCAAAGAGCATGCAAAGACGTGCATGAGTAAAATTACTGTAGGGTCACAGAAATGTAAAGAACAAATGCATGTTCTGAAATCTGAATATATGTGAATAGTACATGCCTGGTAAGCTAATTCTCTTGTATGGCACAGAACAAGGGCTGCAACTTGTCCTGCTACAGGTTCAATCTGCTGCAGTGTTGAAAGAACAAACACAGCTGTCTTCCCCATACCAGATTTTGCTTGGCAGATGACGTCCATTCCCAGAATAGCTTGAGGTATGCATTCATGTTGAACTAATGAAGAACCATATAAATTCACCGAAGGAAGCCTCAGTTTCAATTAAAAAAGTTTTTACCATTCAACTTCTCCAATGAAGTGTATGAGATAATGATTTACCTGAAAAACATTACAGCAAACTGATGTAAGTCTATGATAAATGACTTATTTATTTGAATGCTAAAAGGAACAAGATAGTAAACAACCACACAAAATTTTTTAAAAAAAATAAAGGAGCATAATAGCCCATATCAAGTGAAAAAATATTAAAACACTAATGCTAAGAGCAAAGAGAACTCAAAAAGAGAGAGAAAGAAAAAAAAGTTGATGGCCACATAGACTGCAAATATAACATAAGTAATGATGCCAAAATTTAAACCATTGTACTTTCTTTGGGAAGCTAGCGTAGATAAAATCCTATGGAAGAACAAGAACTTTATTACATTTCAAAATTAAGCAAGATGGCACAGATAATCAACAAATAACAAATATCATGTGATCATACAGTAAACTGATTCTATTAATAAAAAGGTAAAATTTAAGCTACAATTGGTTACAAAACATTTTCAATATTGTTTAGTTACTCGAGGTTTATCCAATGAGACAAAACTAAAGAAAAAAAAAACTATTCATTTCATCTCACTTTACTTTCTGCAGTTCCGGCAACACAATTAAAAATTAAAAAGAGTTGTTATTATATATTTTTCAATCAGAAAAATACTATTCATTCACTCACACACTTATAACTATCAATCACTATATTGTTCACACACTTATAACTATCAATCACTATATTGTATAATTTTTTATGTTTTATCGGCTTTAATTATTACATTTTTACATTATATTTTTCACAATCCCACGTCTATCACACTTTTTTAAAGACAACTTTCTCCACAAATTTTAAGTTGAAATCCACAACTGGCACACATACAACCCGGCAAAAAATATATGTGTGTGTGTGTGTGTTTGTGTAAATGCTTGCCTTCTGATGGATGTTCAAATCCGGAATCCACAATAGCACGTAAAAGCTCTGGCTTTAAGAGGAAGTCTCTGAATCCGGAACTGTGTATACCAACATAACCCCTACAGGAACAAAAAATGGTTCACGTGAGTCGTTGCTTACAATAAACCACATCTAACGGAAAGAACAACAGATCTATATCCTATAAATAAAAAGGAACATTTCCCATATCTTGGAATTCAACTTAATGTGACAATTGAATACACAGCACTGAGTACTGTCCTTAAAGTTTAAAGTAAGCTATGCACAACTCACAGAAGTATCACAATACGTCATCAATATTTGCATACGTATATGTATGTACAAGTATAGCACTTCAACAAAAACAAATAAAAAACAATTAAAACCGAACAAGATCCATATTTCAAAACTTAAATCTTCGTAAGGACTAGGAGAAAACTCCAAAATTTATACACTCACACCACAAGTAAGTGGAAAATTATACAATTAAAATGGGAAGTAGCAAATTAACTCACTTCTTGACGGATTCGCCGTTAGCTTTAGCGCCGACTGAGTCAGGGGCTTTTTCTTCTTCCTCCTCGTAGTCGAGGAGCTCTTCTTCGTAGGCATCGTTCTCCTTTGTCTCACCCATTCGTTAGTGCTGCTTTTAGCACGATAACAGATCGAGAAAACAAAATTCAGTTTTTTCGAGATTTTCAATTCAAACAACGCACGCGTTTGTAAACTCAATTCAATTTCACAGAAATACCAAAGTAAAAGAAATCTGTAAAGTAGTTCCGTTCACCTGCTTAATATGAAGACGCGAGGAGAGGTTTTGGCCTAGATTAGGGCTAGGGTTCCGATATTCTGCAAAGAAAATTGTTAGGCAAATAAACAACTGAAAACAGAAGAAGATATTTGTAGAGGGTTAGAAGATAGGGTTTGGGCGAGAGAGGAAGCTTGCTTCAAATGCGAAGCTTCTGTTGACTGTTTTACCCTTGAACGAATGCGTTAATTACACCTTCTGTTTTCTACATAAACCATCACAACATTTTTTTAGAAACGATAGAAACTAGTGCATCACATATATATTAGACGAGTGCTTGTTAAAAAATATATTTTTAAAATTTTAAAATTAATGAAAAAAGTATACTACAATTTAAATATATTTTTATAAAAAACATATATTATAATTATATATTTTAAAATAACAATTGTTACTTGTGTAATTTATAGGATTATATTATAATAATTTATTTTAACTTATATCATATAACTACTTTAAATATAAATATATTAATGATAAATAATTTAATTATCTAATTAATATTAAAAAAAATTATTATTATTATAAAGATAAATATAATTAATTAATTTTTTACATACAGTATGGATGTCAAATTGAAACTTATCCACAGATGATTAATTTGATATATTACATATGTAAAATTGATAAATAAATACAAAAGTTATTAATTGTTAAATACATTTATAATTCAATTGATATAATAGAAAATGATATTTAAATGCAATTTTCTGTCTAAATTAAACCCAAACTACAAACCCTATATAGCATATTCGCTTAGTAATCGGGCGAACCGAAGACCACTCTATCAGTCACTTGCGAACAAAAATAGTTGTTCACAACCTAGATGGACATGAACACCTCATCCGAACGGTTGTAGTGTCAACTGTACAGTTTGTCTTCACTGATTAGTTGCACTAGTACATTTATGTATTGAACAGGATCCCAGAGAGGAGAAGTTCATTTTATACTGATTGTCGTAAATAAACTAGGCCTCGGTTAATTACTGCGTTGTCTTAACCCGTAAGATATTAAACAGGCAGATATATATAATATATATTACTTTGATTCACATGGGTGAGGTTCAGTTCGCTGTATTAATATTCCTACTATTTTGGGTAATATTATTATATATAGGATGTGTTGTTAGGATATTTACGGTCACCATGTGAGTTAGTTTGATGATGTCCCCGGAGTGAGTTCATGAAGGATTGTTATGCTAAACCCTGCAGGTGGATTAAGTTCCGGCATAATAAGAATGTGATGAACGAGCGCAAGCTTCGGTGAAATAATAATAAAATAATTAATTCTTGATTGTTAGTAATTGAATTAATTAATAGATATTATATCTTAAACGTTGGGAGGTAAATCGAATAATTATTATTGGAGTCTCAAATGTAATTTGGGCTAGGAAAAGGGAGTGCAATAATATAATGTTGGTGGCCCATTAATATTATTTAATTAATTAGAGGAGTGGGCTTGGCCCACAGTTAGTCTAATTAATTAAGGAGTCATTTTCTTAATCTCCTAAGGGTCCCTACTGTAGCTCTATATATACATCGTTAAGCTCATGAGAAGAGAATCCCAATATCATTCTAACGAGACACGCCCACGCCTCTCTCTCTCTCTCTAGATCTCATTCGAGCTTTATCTTCTTCTTGTTGCTTCACTGGTACAAGTAGAAGAAGGGTGTATTGAGTAATACACTAGAAGATCTGTAGGTAAACCGAGACGAAATATATTTTGACCTACAGAACTAACCGGAAGTCCGATTGAGACGTACAGCATACCCAGACGACCGTCTCGACGAGAGATTTCCATCGCCGTCGAGATCGCAGCCGTCCGACGCCTCACGTGCCCTCACACGCCGCCGGAAGCTCCCAGGCTGCAAAGTTTCGTTTTGATCCGTTTGCATCCGTTTGATCCGATTTTGATCTGATCTTGTTCGTGAAACCCAAGACGTGATTTGCGGTCAATCAATCGCGGTCAACCGTTCGCGGTCAACCAGATCTACATAAATTGTAAGCCGTAAGTTCTCTACGTCAAACCTTTAGATCCGCTGCGCATAGGTTTACGTTTGCTATCGAATTCGTGACTTGTACATAACGAGATCCTCACAAATCCCAACAGAAAGGAGTGTTCAAAGTGTAAATATGATGTAGATTAGGGGTTAGATTGGGAGTGGGGTGCTGGGGGTTGTATCATTTGCTAGCTCTATACAACTTTTTCCTCTTCGGTTCTCTTTATCGAACCTTTTTTTAAGATAATTGTAACAATACTACAATTATATATATAAGAAAAGGTTCTCCCATTGAAAAATAAAAATAAAGAGTTGTTTCCGTAGGAAAAAAACAACCAAAAGTGCTCAAATACAATTTCAGTTTTTAATTTTTTTTTTATTTTTTTTTCATTTTTCAGTTCATGAATAAAAATTAAAATTTGATAGAGTTCATACATCATAGTAATACTTTATATGCTGATGTTTTTGCTATTTATATAAACTGGAAATTGGTAATATATCAAGTTTTATAATTTTATATGCTTATGTCCATAAATTTCTAAGGTCACCGACGAGAACTTCATCATGAAGCACACCATGTCGGACGTCCTGTCCATGGCCAACGCCGGCTCGAGGACAAACGGCTAGCAATTCTTCATGTTTAACGGCAAGATCGAGTCACTCAAGCTGGTGAGCTTGGCATTTGGTGACAAAATATGACAATTCAACAATATTGAAAATAAACTAATTAATTTTAGTTTTCTGCACGCTGATTTTAGTTCCGTGTTCTGATTTATTGAAAATAAACTAATTAAGATGTTATAATGTTTGTTTGTTGGAAATGTTCTATTTTTATAGAACTAGAAACCAATTGAAGAAGATAAAGACTTGAAGACTTGAACTATGAAGCAATATTTAAAATCTATTGTATTTCACAAATATTTGGTTTTATGTTTATCTTTTCATATTAGACAGAATTTCAACTTCAATTCCTTGTGGAAATAAAGATTTAGTTTATGTACCTTGTTCATGTTATTGAATTTTGTTATCATATAGGACCCTTTTGTATTAGCATAATCTATGGGTACAACCCCAACAAAATAATATCTATGGGTTTCTTCAAGCATGCAATGATGGTGAACAGTACCATGTCATTGGACTAAATTTCTTTTAGATAATGACCTAAAATTATCCTAATTTTATTATTTAATAGATACATGACTGTTTTGATCAAATTTCTTTTAGTATGACTATTCTTTAAATACATTAAGTTTATGCAATTTTTAAATCAACAATTCATGTTCTCATTTATATAATACTTACATGACATTAACAGTAAATAAAATAATATACGATAACAGTGGGCCGACTGTGCGAAAACAAAAGTAATTAATGAAAGTCAGAATTGGGACAAAAAAAAAAGAAATGAAAGTCAGAAACAAAGAGCAAAGTTAAATAAATAAATAAATAAAAATTAAAATTTTGAAAAAGTCGTCAAAGAAAGATGATGGTAACATGAAAACAAATAATTCCGCGCCAGGTAGGGGTCGAACCTACGACCTTCTGCTTAGGAAACAGACGCTCTATCCACTGAGCTACAGGCGCTTATTCGTTTAAAAATATGTTTAAATTCACCTCAAATTAAAGATGTAGGTATACAATGTTAAATAATAATAATAAATTAAATATGTGGATTAACATGTGATATAATTTACCATACATAAATTTTTTGTAGAACATAAAATTATATTGTATAAAAAAATATAAAGCACGTATGTGTAAAATATTAAAAACATCTAAATATTATATAAACTTATTTAAAAGTATCTAAAATATTTTATATTATTCTTGAAAATTTTGAAATCACCTAAAATTTTTCTAAACTATTTTGTAAGGAAAACATGTATAAAAATACTTAAATTTAACATCTATATGTGTCTATATACATAGATATAAATCCTTAATCTATGTGTAAAAAATTTGTTCAAATATGTTCAAAAGTATCTAAAATATTATATGCGTGAATAATATGTTTTGTAATACCTAATAATATCCGAACACATAGTGTTTGTCCCATTTTTGTTGCCTTTTTCGTTATTGTTTTGTCCTTCTTTTTCCCTCATTTTAGGTTTTTCGTTGATTTTTAGTCCGTTTTGTGGTTTGTTGCGTGTTTTCAAATTTTGGGGTTTCTGCATTTTTGTTTGTGTTTCCCAGTTTTGTTCGTATTTTTGTCATTTTTGGCGTGCAGGTCTGGTGCTTTGGGAAGATATGATTTGAAGGAAAAAAATGGTTTTGCAAGCTTATAATTATGTAGAAGGGTTCATTGGCGACAAGTAGGAAAAAGCGGAACATAATTCCGAGTTTGGACGAGCTCAAAAACGAGCCCGAAACGTAAAGCCACGCACAACAGCCTAGTTTTCTTCACCGTGACCGCGGAATACTTCTGCAACAGGAAGTTCACGGCCTCGGACCTCCCTGCGGCCGCAAAGGGCGCGACCAGACTTTTTAAAATCCATTTTAATTGCTCGATTTTTTTTAGCACTTTTTCATTGGGACTTGTTCCCAACCCTAGGAAAACACCTCCAGACTCGTTTTTATCAGTTTTTCACCCCAAAACACTGAATCTTCACCTTGGTTTTGATCTTGGAGAGTGGCACTCCAAGATTTGTTTTCGGATTAAGCTTGTATTTCGGATTCGTCACTTGATTTTGTATTTAATCGTATGTACTTATTTTCATTTAATTTATGAATTTGATGGCTTGGGTTAATGTGATTATGTGTGTTGAATTCAATATAAATAGATAAATCTGTTTGCTAGGGATAGGGGATCACTGTTCTTATTTGTTTGTATTTGTCGGGCCTTGATTTGTTCATTCTCGTGCGAGTTGATTTGAAAAGGATTGTTAATTTCATGCTTAAAAGTTGAATATTATTGAAGAGTGACACTTCAATCTTGCAATTGGGTCCAATTGGATATTGTTCTTTCGAGTTAGGGTTTTCGATTCTAAACAATTAGTCGACTAATCATCCTTTAATTTAATTACACAACTTTTAGAACCGAAAGGGGAGAAGTTGTAGACCTAGACTCGCATGAGATAGATGATTTCGTAAAAGAATAGTCTATTGGTCTTTGGATCGAAATAAATGCTCGTCTACGCCCGTTCCCTTGTTATAAGAGTTATTGGGATCGGAACCTAGGCCGGTGTGTATGCTTGAACATCGTCATCTATGTTCAATCCCTTGTTACAAAAAGTTATTTGGAGCGAACCGCTAGGTGATCAAGCGAGAGTGTCAATCTTGAGTCGTAAACTATGCGTCCGATTTGGATATGCGAATTGTAAACTATACGAACACATTTCACATAATCTTAAATATGCGGCGATCAATTTGGATATGCCGTAACTTTATATGCGAAATAATTTTCGTATAATTTTGATTTGGATAATAATAAATAATGCAATTCGTGAATATGCAAAAAGGTTACGTATAATCGTTAATTATACGACGTTATACATTTGGATATTCGAATTGAAAAATATGCAAAAACATTTCGCATAATCCTAAAATATGCGGCGAGCAATTTGGACATGCAGTAACTATGTATGCAAAATGATTTTCGGATAATTTTGATTGAGATAATAATAAATTATGCGACTCTTGAATATGCGAACACGTTACATATAATCGTAAATTATACGGCGTTATAGATTTGGATATGCGAGTTGAAAACTGCGCGAAAACATTTCGTATAATCCTAAAATATGCGATGTTTAATTTAGATATGCGATAAAGTAATATACAAAACTTTATCGCATAATTATGTTGTGTATTTGAATATGAGATTAAATTATATGCGTAAGTGGTTCACATATTTGTTAACTATGCGGTGTATTTGGATATGCGAGTTGAAAAATATGCGAAAAAAATATCGCATATTGATAAATATGCAACTACCAATGTGGATATGCGATAACTATATATGCGAAATTATTTAGCATATCAAGAATTATGTAGGTGGATTTGGATATACGATTAACAAATATGCGAATGTGCTTCACACAATTATTAACTATACATCCAATTTGAATATGTGTTGACATATATACAACAAAATTTTGCATAATTATTAATTATGTGGTTCATTTGGATATGCAATTTTTATATTGCATATAGTTTCGTCAGTTGTGGGGGCGAAAAAGAAAAAATTTTGATGGGAGATTTTTTTACAGTTTTCCTATGAAGCCAACAGTTGGCTCCATAGTGCAGCCAACCTTATACAACAAGTAAACCATACCATATTCTCTAATTAATTAAATACTAAAAATTTTATTAATATTATATGGTTACTTGTTGTATATAGAAGGTTGACTCCACTGTGATGTCAATTGTTGGCTTCATAGCAAAATTGGATTTTTGTATGCATATACTTTCGTGAGTTGTGGAGTTAAAAAGAAGGTTTTTGAGAAGCAGTATGTAAAAGATATTGCATGTATATATTAGAATGTAAAGAATATTCGCTTGCATGTATATATTAGAATGTTAAGAATATTCGCTCTAAAAATTTAAGTGTCAGCGAAAACTGGATATAATATTTTATAAATTGATGTTTGCGTTCGTCTGTGATGTGAGGGGAAAAAAAAAATAAAAATAAAAAAAAATAAAAAAAAAAAAAACAAAATATGGGTGCATGTGACTGATTGCATTTGCATATGATGAAATTAGACTATTACTCGTCAACGTCTACATAATCCCCATTGTCACCAAGTCAGCATGCTTGTCTAACAAATACTTTCCTCGGTACGTTTCCTTTTGTTCATAATATATGATAAAAGCCCAACAGTTTTAGCATCAAAGTTTGGATTTTCTGAATCTTGTCTCGCATATTTAAAGAAAGAAAGATAAAAGAACTTCATCATCATTATTATCACTATTATTATTTCTTTTTCACCTTTAACTTAAAGAATATTAATATAATATACGGAAAGGTGTTATTTGAGTCGAGTCGAGTAGCTTATGTTTGAGTTCATGCTAGTTTAATAAATGAGCCGGCTCAGTTCCTCTTATTTAGGAAACAAACAAAATGCTCGACTCATTTAAGCTCATGAAAATTTGGCTCATCCGGATTCGTTTAATAAACTTAAATATCTAAACCGGTTGGTGGCAAAACAAAATGTCTATTTTGCGCGAACAATTTCGGTTCAAATGTTTGTTTAAAATCCAAATAAAATGAAAAATGAACTACTTGCGAACAAGTTCGGCTCGACTCGTTTAATAGACAAACTCAATTAGTTCACTGAGACCGTCTCGTTTAATTAAACGAACAATCCAAAATCAAGCTTTAACGAGCCGAATTAAGCCATGTTCGTGAACAGTTCGATTCGAATAACAACTTCAATCAACAGGTTACTCCTAGCTGATACCTATAGATTAAGGCAGTCTTATTTTTTCACTTTCTATACAATAAGCAGTAGAACTAATTAATTNTCCAATATTATTACTATTATCATCATTATTATTATTATTATTATTTTAAATAACACACATGACACTCCAATATTACCTCAATCAGCAACTATAAAGCAACTCCTCCACCATCTGCAAAGCCACCCTATTCTCCTCATCCATCATTGCATCGCGATCGTGGGCTTGGGCCGACGACTGACGAGACGGGCTTTCGTCAGTCGGGCCCTTTCTATCCTTGATCTTGAGATCGACTTTCATGACCCAATGAGAGCCCGACTGCCGCCCGGCCCGTTTCTGCCACACGCCTATGTTGTTGGAGTTGTCGTTGTCGAGCCTCAGGCACGTGATTGACGGCGCCGGGTTCTTGCAGCTCTTCTTGAGCTTTGCCCCGAGCACCTCGGAAAGCGCGTGTGGGCCCGTTTTCGAGCTCGGGAGCTCGTTGCTCTCGTGGGGCCCGATAATTGGGACCGCGAAATTCGTCTTCGCGTTTTGGCCGCTCATTAGGACGGCCGCTTGGTCGTACGCCCTTGCCGCGGCTTCGGCCGTCTCGAATGTGCCCAGCCAAATTCTTTTTTTCCTATAAATAAAAAATAAAATGTGCTCAAAGATATTTGTGTTTTATTTCAGCTGTGATAATATTGGAAAATGTCAGAAATAGAAGGAATATTTTTTGAAGAATTATTACAGCAAAGGGTGGCGGATTTCTGACACCCAGGAGCCCCACTGGCGTTGCCTGACACCCCTGAACTTTTTTGTTTGTACCATGTTTTTTTTTTTTTAATGGCAAATAAGTTCAGTTAGTTGCAGGGAAAACTGCAAAAACTGGATGAGTTGAGAAGAAATATCAAATACTAGAGGAGGTTTTTAAAATGTGACTTGTCGGTGTGAATACTTGAAAAGTTGTTTTTTTAATTATTATAATTGTTATTTTATTGATTTTTATTTAGATGAGAGAAAAGGGTGTGTGCGTATTAAAAGCTTTCACCTGTTTTGCTATTTACTGAACCATAATTATGGTAACCACTCCACATAAATGTAACTATCCATTCCAATCATGTTCTTAGAACATGGGACTTTTCTTTTCTTTATTTTTCCTATTTAAATGTTGAAAAAATAGAATGAGAAACTATGATAGGAATAAACACCATGTGGAGTTTGAGTCTATTCATATATTCATATGAGATTTTCTTGTTCCAACTCACTAACGGGCAAAAAGGAGAGATTTACCATAAGCCCAGGTGACCCGGTTTTACCAAGCTAGTCTCATGGACTCAGTGTTTTAAAACGCGTATCGCGCAATTCGTCGCGTTTTGATCCTTATATTGCGTAGTGTAAATAGCGTAGCGCATTGCATAAGCTATTCGAGGAATTCACTTTTAATGCAAAAAAATAATAATATATAACCATACAAATAAATAAATAATTAAAGTGGTTTTAACCATAAACTTGGATATTGAATCTAAAAAATAATATTCAAATAATAATTCTTCAAATAGCCAAAGTCTTAATGTTTAAAGTAAAGTCACAAAATCTCATAGTTATAGAGATTTTCACTATAAAAAATCATTGGTATAAAAAATCATTTGCAGGTCTCCGGGGAGCAGGTTGGACGAGGATCGTTGGAGAGCCGGTTCGAGGTGCAAGAGCACACCAATACTGACTCAATTTACTGACTCAATTTATTGTTACTACCAGGTGATCGCCGAAAACTTCCATAGTGGCAGGTTGTTAAAAAAATATGCCAATTGCCGAAAAATTTCGCTAGTGACCGAAAATGACTATTGGCAGCTATCGTGCGTCGACGGTAGTCAGTAGTAGCAAAGTGGTTGGCTTGGTGCTCGCTACCAAGTTGGTTGTTGGCCTCAGCATGAGTGTCGGTTGCTGGTTGAGCGTGGGGTAACATACGAATACTAAGGCTAGGCCAACCAGTAGATGGGATTCACCCGCGGGTAGACATGGCGCACCCGAGGCCCACTTGTGGGAAGATTGAGCGTCGGCCTTAACGCTTACCCGATTGCAGAACTTGTCCTGTTGGCTAGCAATTTGCGTCCACCCAAGGCTAGGCGTAGTATGCAGCACCGGGCAATAGGCTCAATGACGGAGCGAGAGGGGGTCCAGGGGGGCCATGGGCACCCTTGATTTTTTTTTTAAAATCAATATATATATATACAGGAATTGTTTCTAATGCATCCCATTATTTAAAGTGAGGACGTGAGACTCATTTTTAGCCACAAGATTTGGTACATCATGTGTGGCCAAGATTTACTCTTTTCTTTTTATTATTTTAATTATTTAAATATTATTTTGACCCGTTGACTCTGTCGTTGACCGTTGACTTCCGACGAAATCCGTTGACTTCCAACGTTGACTCCGGCGTTGACCGTTAACAACTAACCTTCCAACTAGGTTAGTTGTCTGTAGTTGCTAGGTTAGTTCTATGTAGTTGCTAGGCTAGTTCTCTATAGTTGCTAGGTTAGTTGTCAGTTGTTGCTAGTTAGTTCTCTGTAGTTGCTAGGTTAGTCCACTGTAGTTGCTAGGTTAGTTGTCTGTAGTTGCTAGGTTAGTTCTCTGTAGTTGCTAGGTTAGTTCTCTGTAGTTGCTAAGTTAATTCTTTGTAATTGCTAGGTTAGTTCTCTGTAGTTGCTATGTTACTAGTTGCTAGGTTAATTCTCTGTAGTTGCTAAGTTAGTAGCTGCTAGGTTAGTTTTCTGTAGTTGCTAGGATAGTTGTCTGTAGTTGCTAAGTTAGTAGTTGCTGGGTTAGTTCTCTGTAGATACTAGGTTAGTAGTAGCTATGTTAGTTCTCTGTAGTTGCTAAATTAGCTGTCTGTAGTTGCTAAGAGCTGTCCGCATTTTAAGAGCTGACCGCATTTTAAGAGCTGACCGCATTTGATCCCCCCCTATAGTAAATNTACTATAAAATATGTATATAAATACAAAAAATTAATTACAATTTATTAATAATTAAAACTTATTAAAAATCAATATACATATAAAGAAAATATTATAAAATATGTATAGAAATGTAAAAAATATTTAACAATATAGTACTAATTAAAACTTATTTCCTATGCTATTTTTATTTAAATTAATAATATACTAATAATATTTATATTTTTAAATTTTTAGATAAGCTTTTGAAAATATTTATAATGATGTACTCTTTCGGTCTCTTAATTATAAATTGATTTAGTGATTTATAAAATCGAGTATTTATTAGTTGGATTATTACATTTTTTAATGTCGATTTTTCTCTTTTTTTGTGTAATCACATATTTTTAATTTTATTTATTTTTTATTAAAAAATGTTCATTTGATAATTTTCATCAACAAAAATGCTATGCAATGTTGTGTAAAAGTAAAATTTTAATCAAAATATCAACAAAAAAAATTGTTTTTCCATAAATTATAGATAATGAACTTAAATTATAAATACATGGCAACTTTTTCTTTTTTTTAAAAAAAAAGTTTGAGGGTTGATACGGATATTACAGTTTTAAAACATTGATGGTACACGTATTAATTTTTATATTTATAATAAATATATTTTTATATGAAATGAGTGCTTCGACTTAAATTACAAACTTGTTATTTAACATTTAAAATTAGACCCCCCTGAGTAAAAATTTCTAGATCCATCACTGATTAAGCTTTGCCTCAAGCTGGATTCAACAAGTCCACACTGGTCCAGTGCGTGCCAATTTTGAGTTTGTTTCCTACTTGTTTTCCTTTCGTTTTATGATAAACTTATTCCATAAGTTGAAGTAAAAACACAAAAAATATTAAATTACAAAAAAATGAGTAAAAATATTCTAATAGACCGAAAAAACAGTAAAATGAGATCACAAAAAAAAAAAATATAAAAAAAAAAGAAATTATATTTATGAAGTCTCCATATATGTGTGCCTATATCTTGACTATATTCAATTTTATTAGGTTTAATTATTTATTTAACTCAAAAGTTGAATTGTCGATTATGATANTATGAAATATACTAATACAAAATAAATAATTACATAAGTGTGTCCAGACAATTAGCAGGTTAAGAAAATTAGGGCCATACTTTTGTCCTCACTCTCAAAAAGATTTGCTGTAATATTTATGTGAGTTTGGTGAAATTGGACATTTTCGGGACCAAACTTTGACTTCTAAGATAGGAGACCACGAACATGCCCCGTTTTAGCACCAACTGGATATAATACCACTTAAATTCAATTGCAAAAAATAAATATAAAGAAAAATAAAAAGACTCACACTCACAGGACCAAACGTGAAATAACTCACTTCAACTAAAACAATTTAAACACTTATTTTACTTGATGGAGCTGAAGCTTCATTAGTTGATTTTATATTTGTATCAGATCTAGATAAATAAGCAATAATTTGTGTCAAAATAAATCAAATGCTATATTTGTTTAAATTAATCTTTTGTATACAACTTATTGATTATACTTACGAGAAAGTATAATCAAACAACGAGCTCGGTTCAAGGCCCGTTGACCACGGGCCGATCCGGGTCGGGCTGTGGTCATGTCTACTCATAGTTATTGCAAGAGTTAAAGTAGCATATTGTGGCATGGAGGTGAAGAATTTTATCCACCAACGTTGATACAGATGGCTAACTGCTTTTATATATCTGATTTTAGCTTAATCAATAGCATATTATGTTTAAAGTGTATGCCCAAATTTGAAAGGATTTTGGTACTGGTTATATGATCAATCTCTTTCACCTTCAATGTTGATTATGTTCAATCACTTTCGATTTCAATTTTGATTAATGGCAGCGTCGACGTTTAAGGTAGTTTGTTTGTGCTATAGGTCACAAAGAGGAAGCAGGATGATGAATTTCATTCAAATTAATTCGAGTACATTTAGAAAAAATCCCCTTATATATTAATTTCATAATGCTGTGATTCTATGTATTGATTCTATATATTAATTTAGAAAAAGTCCCTGATTTTTTTTTTTAAATCAATATAAATATATATATATATATATATATATATAAAGAAAATATTATAAAATATATATAGAAATGTAAAAAATATTTACAATATATTAATATTTAAAAACTTTTTTCTATGCTATTTTAATTTAAATTAATAATCTTATTTATTTATTGAAAAATATACTCATAAAATCCTTATATTTTACATTTCTATATAAGTTTATGAAAATATTTATAACAATTTATTCTTTCGGTATATTAATTGTAAATCTATTTAGTGATTTATAAAATCGAGTAGTTATTATTATATTTGATTTTTTTACTTTTTTTGTGGGAATCACATATTTTAAACTTTATTTATTGTTTATCTTCTTAAAAAAATGTTCATTTGATAAGTTCTCATTAACAAAAATGATAAGCAATAAGATGTAAAAGTTCAATTTAAATCAAATTTTCAACCAAAAAACTTATTTTTCTATAAATTATAGATGTTGAACTTAAATTATATAATCTCATTTTTTTTGTTTGTTTTTTTAGAAGTTTGAGGGTGATATGAATTATAAATTTGATAAAAACTTGATGGTACACAGATCGATATTTATATTTACATTAAATACATTTTTATATGAAATGACGCTTCACTTAAACTACAAGTTCGTTATTTAACATTTAAACTCGGGTCCCCCTTAGTGAAATTCCTAGATCCGTCACTGCTGGTAGTTCTATGTATTGAATTCTGGTGCTTTGTAGTTTTACGTGTCAATTAGTACGTGACATATGCGATACACGAACAAAAATATATTATATACAAAAATATATTATGTGTGTGTATTATATACATCTCAATAATTTTAATTTGAATTACTTTAAAAAAATTTCAAGTTTGATTAATATTTTATATACACAAATTTCTTTCCTCATCTATTATATTTTTTAATATTCAAATTTATAATATTTAATAATTTAAATATAATGAGTATGGGGGTAATATTTTTAACATATTTGTAATTATAATTTACAATTTTTTTAATTTTTAATATCGTTACAATATTCAATCTCTTTGTAGTTTTTTACTTAAGTTGAGACATAAATTTTAAATATTTTTTATATTCATTTTATGTTCATACTTAGTTTATATATATTCTTTTCAATTAAATAAATATTTTAGGATGTGTTAATATAAATCAATTTTGATTGCTTCATATGATAATTCGCATTAATTTAGTTTGATAAATCAATTTCAAATTTATTTATAAGGATATATATCGTTGTTTTGTATTTCATATAAGATAATAAATTTGATATATCATATATAAAAAATAAAATACAAACAAAAAAGTTATAAAATTTAAAAACTAAGAAGAAGACACATTTATAATAATTGGTGTATGAATTAAATAAGAAAAGGAAATGTAATATATGGTATTGTAGGAAAAGAAAATGTAAAAGAGTTTATGGTAACTAACCGTATCAAAAATAAGAAAGATATCAATCACAGATTTAATGTGATTAATATAGATTTTTAGTGAAATTCAAGACTAATTATTATTTTATAAAAAAATACTAATATATATCAAAGCCTAGCGAAGCATAGTTTTTAGCCAAATAGGATTTCGAAGCGTGCGAGTTTGACACTTAGGATCAACGCATTTGCTAATTATATATAGGGGGATGATATGTAAATATTCATATATCATTGAACATATTTTCATAAAATTATTCTTGGAGCTTGGACTACATTACATTTATCGTAATATAATATTTTTAATATTAAAGTTTCTATTTAGTTTCAATAATCGATTCGGTCTGGTCAAACTGACCAGTGACCAAGGATCAATCCTAGTTGTGTCTATTGGGGTATACTGTAGAAGTTCAGCTTTCAGTTTCTGACAATACCATTTTGAATGAGAATTCAAGTTTCAGTGAAATGCATGTTTGCAGTTAATTTATTTATACGAACATTGTTCCTTTATTTTAAATTGTATATAATATGGTTCCGGTTCTGGTACAGTAAGATCATATTATCAGTTCCTTATAAAATATAAATGATGGTTCACAGTCTACACATGAACTGAACTTCCTGTCGTGAAAGACTGTAGTGTGATCTTGGAATTAGTTGATCTTAGACTAATGAATTACACTAGTACATCTCGAATGTATTGAACGACCCACAAGAGAATAAGATTATTTTATACTGGCTAAATAAATAATATCGACCTCATTATTTGTTGCGTATTCTTAACCCGTAAGACAATGTACGAGCATATGTAGTCGGCACTTACTTATTTGATTTATCAAGGGTGAGACTTATTCTGGTAGATCGACATACTCGATATTTTGGTAAGTAATGTCAGCTGCATGATGTGTTGTCAATATTGTTTACGGTCACCGTATCCGGGGAGCCTGGGTTGATGACATCTCCGATGTGAGCTCAAGAAGGATCATTATGTCAAGCCCTATAGGCGGATTAAGTATCGACATGATGATAAAAAATTGAATGGTACTAGCTTCGGATATAGAAGTTAATTAATTAGGTTGTCAGTAATTAAATTAACTTAAATACGGGAATGTAAATCGGACAATAAACTGGGAAACAATTTAATTGTAATTCGGAGTTAAATTAGGAGTGCAATAATATTTCTCTAGTGGAATGATTTATTATTCGGGTATTGAGCGCAGTGGGCTTGGCCCACAGTTGGACTCATGCTTGGTGATCCCATATTAAACACCTCTTTAGTATCTCTGTTGTAACTTGTAACCTATAAATGCACCAAGTCTCAAGCCTCCAAATGAAGGATTTCTCATAAGATTATATGCACGATCGGTTTTCTTTTCCAATATATCTGTTCGACATGTGGTTTCTTAAGAGTTTGTGAGATTTGAGAGCTTCGTTTGATTGCCCCACCAAGATCGTTCGGAGAAGGTTTTTGGGTAGTACAGTATAGGATCTTTTGGTCTTTCATTCGTATCCCGGACAATATATTCGTACCTCGTAAAATATCTGTAATTTCCAGTGTTGTTCGTTCTTCATTCAAATCGAGAATCATGACCACCGCAGATCGACGATCACCATCCCGTACATGCCGAACTCAGCCGCGACCCAACGCCGACCAGTCAGCCAACCTCTGCGACCAGGAAGCAGTTGAGACCCTAGAGCATTATTTCCATAATCTTTTTAAAACCACTGTTCCAGAAGTGGATAATTGTAGCTTAGAGGGAATCCCAGTCTCCATCACTAAAGAGTTAATCTGAAGCTGACTAGGGGAGGTTGATGAGGAGGAAATTAGGAAGACTTTTAGTAAGATGAACAATGAGAAAGACCCTAGGGCTGATGGTATGACAATCATGTTTTTTAAAATTATTGGGATATTGTTAAGAGTCGTCTGTGTGCTGCAATTAATTTTTTTTTTTAACAGGTAGAATATCCTAAGGGTATCAACAATACTATCATCACCTTAATATCTAAAAAGAAAAAACACTTCCATTGTGTCTGATTATAGGCCCATAAGCAATTGCAATGTGACCTACAAACTCATAGCCAAAATTCTTTCCTTAAGGTTAAAGACTGTCCTGCATCTTTGCATTTCTGACTCCCAATCTGCCTTTGTTCAAGGAGGTAGATTCTTGACAATGCCATTATAGGTGATGAGTGCATTCATGTTCTAAATAGCAAGAGAAAAGGCAAGGAAGAATATATGTCTGTTAAACTAACATGTCTAAAGCTTATGACAAGGTAGAATGAGAATTTTTGGCTAGGGTTTGTAGTAAGATGGGGTTCTGTGATAAATTTGTTTCTTGGGTTTTAGCTTGTGTCTGCTCCACATCCTCTCTTTTAATGTTAATGGACAGGCTCTGGGGTTTGTTCGGCCTAGTAGGGACCTTAGGCAAGGGGACCCTTCGTCCCCTTACCTATTTATATTGATTTTTGAAGCTCTTTTCAATCTAATTAGGCAAGCTAGGATTAATCTTAGTTTCAAAAGTATTAAAGTTGGTAAATATGCTCCCATTGTTTCTCACCTCTTTTTTGCAGATGATACCATTTTGTTATGCAAGGCTGATATACCCTATGCTCACCTTATTTTGAATATGCTTCTGGTCAGGTAATTATCCTTGAAAATTCTTCCATCTTTTTCNNNNAACACTCATTTGAGAGTTTCTTCTGACATTAAACTCATCCTGCATGGTATTAATCATATTTCAACTTCCAAATACCTAGGTGTCCCTTTGGGAATTGTTAGGTCTAAGAGATAAATTTTTATATTTGTGAGTGAGGCTGTTCACAACAGAAAATCCAAATTTCTTGAGTGAGGCTGGGAAGGAGGTCCAAATTAAGCCTGTGGTGGTGCTATGCATCTGTGTGTGATGATACTTGCAACGAATATGCTCAGTTTTGGTGGGCGAAAAAGAGGGTAGGGGAAGTAAAATCTATTGGGATTAGTGGAAGAAGCTTGCCAAACCTAAGGTAGATGGGTGGTTGGGTTTTAAAGATCTGAGAGCCTTTAGTGAAACACTTATTGTTAAGCAATTGTGGTTCCTAAGTAAGCCTAATTTGCTTATGAGTAAAGTGATTAAGGGTAGATATTTTAGGAATTACTACGCCTGTTAAACTCAAGAATGGGGACTCTTGGCTTTAAAAGATCTGGCTAGGGGCTAGGGGGCTTTGGAGTTTGGTGCTAGATTTCAAATTGGGGATGGTAAGGCAGTCAAGGTATGTGATTCTTCTTGGATCCCTATCTTACCTGTTTTCAAACCTCACTGCCACTTTGAGTTTGATACGGGTAAGTTAAGCAAGGTTATGATCTTATTGATAATGGTCGACATGATTGGGATAGAGAGATGATTTTTCAATCCTTTGGCTAGATTCCTACTGCATAGATGACGCCAAATTTCTCCAAGATAGGATCAGCCTTTCAACTTATATTAAGGGGACGTAGACTAATATTATATATTAATGCAATTAATTGGTTGTCGAAGATAAATTTAAAACAAAATATTTTATATAAAGTGTTTTACGATAGATACACACTTGTGATTCTATTCAAAAATTAAAATATATCGTATGTTATAATAATTAGAAAAATAAAAATAATTCCATATATATATATATAGATACATACATTGCATGTCATTAATTTGTGAAAAAAAATCACATTGAAAAAGGTAACACATTGTGGGTTTATTTAAATAATTAACCAAATAATTCAATCAATCAAACTAAAAAAATCGTTGCAATTTAAATTTTTCGTAATACATTAAATACCTTTAGTTGATCCATTGCCAAAGGAAATAAATCCTTAATATAATCCTAAGATTTTCTTTTTAGTTTGCATCTTACCTTTTATGGTTTATTTACCATACTATGTTATGGAATGATATTTACAATAATTTCATTACAGAAAAAAATAATAAAAAAATTCCTCTTTCAGATTCCTCTATATTTTATCAACTAATAAATACAAGTACAATACCCGTATATTACACGGGTGCTGAATTAGAAAGCTTTTGTACAAAATATTAAATTTTTTATTTTTTTTAAAAAACAAAGATAATTTAATTTTATGTAGAACATTACTTTGGGTTTAAATTAAATTGCTAATCTATATTTTTTTTAATCATAATAATTAAACACCCGTGCATTAAATGAAAATGTCAATCCGTGTTGAATTCTTTTACTTATATCATTAAAAATATCGATATTATTTACTATTACATAAGTACAAAAATATATATCTTAAATAAATAGAAATAATATGGTGATATGTACATGCATAAGTGTAAAGTATTTTTATTTAATATTAAGCAAAATAGATTAATTTTTGTACTTAATTAGATACCTAATACATCAAGTGTCGTATATATATTTTAGAATGACACTTGTTACTTGTGTGACTTACATGTGTTATATTATAATAAGTTTTTTTAACTTATAACATATAACTATTTTAAACATAAATGTATTACTTAAGAAATAATTTTATTTTTTAAATAAATATTAATAAATAATTTTATTATTATTATAAAAATAAATATATTTTATTTATTTTATACATTCAATATGAATGTCAAATCGAAGCTAATCAAAAGATGATTAATTGGATATGTTATATATGTAAAACCGATAAGAAATACAAAAGTTATCAACTTTTAAAATACATTTACAATTCAAAGGTTATAATAGGAAATCAATCATGGATTTAATGTGATAAAAAATATTAATTATATATCTAAGCCTAACTCCAAAGCATGATTTGTTGTCAAATAAGATTCCGAAGCATGAGAGTTTGTCACATAGGCTCAGCGCATTCTGAAATTATATATAGAGGGTTACATAAGTACAAAAACATATATCTTAAATAAATAAAAATAATATGGTGATATGTATATGAATAAGTGTAAAGTATTTTTATTTAATATTAAGCAAAATAGATTCATTTTTATACTTAATTAGATACCTAATACATCAAGTGTCGTATATATATTTTAGAATGATACTTGTTACTTGTGCGACTTACATGTGTTATATTATAATAATTTTTTCAACTTATAACATATAACTATTTTAAACATAAATATATTACTTAAGAAATAATTTTATAAATCTTATTTGGCCGTGGCTGGAAGGTTCCCTGCGGGCGGCTCTGCTTCTCCGATGGGCCCTGAAGGGGCTTTTCGATTCTGTCGCCGGCGGACTGTGGTGATGGCCGGTCGGAGGGTCTGCAGGTGGGGTGGGGCTCCGGAGGCTGTGGTGTCTCTTGTCGGAGTAGCCGGAGCTGTGGGACTGTGCCGCTCTCTTTCTCCCCCCCGGCTCTCTGGTGTTGGGGTCGGGTGGGTTCCGGAGCAACCGAGTTTAGCTAGTGGTGTTAGATAAATTCGAGTTGTGAAGGCGGGAGTTGGTGTTGCTTTCCCTCGATTGGGGGTGGATCATTCTGGGGCTAGGTTTGGGGCTAGGGTTCGACTGCTTGTATAGGCGTTTTCGCAGTTTCGGTAGTAGTGTCTGGGCTCGAGATTTTCCTTGGATTGATTGATCTCTGCAGGCTGACTTCGTTGGCCGGTTGGGGAAGGGCTTGAATGTAGTAGTTTAGTTTTTTATTTCCTGTGTTTTTTTTCCTGTGTTTCGGGCGTGTGTTGCTTAGGAATCGTGTTTTGGTTTGGATTGTTGCCTCGGTGTTTTTTGTGTTTTGTATTTTTGGTTTGGGCCGTTGGCCCCTGTGAGCCTTAGTGTCAAACTTATTACTCCGTTGGGGTCCGACACTAGGGTATTATCCTGTTGGGGTCCTTGTAGTTGTTTTAATTGTTTGTGTTGTTGGTTAGTTTAGTTGTGAGTGTGTTTTTTATTCTAGCATTGCTAGTCGGGATTCTAGGCGGGCTTCTGACCTGTCCTCCCACTTTTTCAATTGTTGACTGTTGTGTATTCAGCCGTTGGCTGTTGTGTATTCGCACATTTGTGCATTTTGATTTATAAAATTTTCTATCGTTTCGGGGAAAAATAAATAAATAAATATTAATAAATAATTTTATTATTATTATAAAGATAAATATATTTTATTTATTTTATACATACAATATGGATGTCAAATCGAAGCTCATCAAAAGATGATTAATTGAATATGTTATATATGTAAAACTGATAAAAAATACAAAAGTTATCAACTTTTAAAATACATTTACAATTCAAAGGTTATAATAAGAAATCAATCATGGATTTAATATGATAAAAAATAATAATTTTTATATCCAAGCCTAACTCCAAAACATGATTTTTTTTTTGTCAAATAAGATTTTGAAGCATGAGAGTTTGCTCAACGGCATTTCGAAATTATATATATATAGGGGATTTTATGTTCACTTTTATGAAAAGAAAATATACAGCTTAAACAATTAATTTTTAAACTTTCCATATTAACTAAGATTTTTGTTATTTTTTTTTGGAAAATCAGTTAAATAATCGAACAAGAACAATTGGGCTCACAATCCTGTCCATCTTCTACCCCCAATAAAAAGCACAAATCATCTACAGCCTACGGCCAGCCTCTCTTTCTCTCCTCCTCCGCTACTAAATTCAAGAACAACCGCACTTCATCAAACAGCTGGTGTACGGTGACTCCCGATCAACAGATCAAAAGGAGAATCAATTTAGACCTCAACCTGTTGGGAATATACTGAGTATGTTGTTGTTGTTGTTGTTGTTGTTGTACTCTTGTGTTCAATTGTTTAATTCTTCTGTTCTTTCTTTTTTCGTTTGCAGGATAACTGGGCGTTCTCGTTTCTTCTTTTTATATGGATATTGAGATCTGGGCCTTAAAAACGTAATGATTTTTCTTGGTGGGTTTACAGTAATAATATCTACCAATGAAGTGCTGCTGGTGTAGATCGGTCCCCTCTTGGGTTTCTAAGTTAATTGCATGCATGGGGTCAGTTCTTTTTACCTTCTCTAGATATGAGTGCGTTTGTGTGTATGTGCGTGCAGTGTTATTGCTTGATTGCTTGCTTGCTTGATTGATTGCATGCTCAATTTGTACGATTAGAGTAGCACAAGGTGCAACTTCTAGAACTGCGATTGTTCTGTACTTCTGTTATACATGAGCTTAAAAGAGCTTTCATTACAGCGTTTTGTTGGCCTACCTTTTTAATTAGGTTATCTGTTTATTGAATGAACAAGGAGAAGGAATAATGACATAGGACTATGAATATGATCTTTCTTGAACATATGCTAACGTGAGGAATATACGTGGCTGTTAGGACAATTGGAGTAAGAGGTTAATTATTTTAGTTGGCTTACTTTTGTTTTGTTCTTCTTTTGTTGGTTTGGAATCTTGGTTTTTTGCTTGTATTTGAAGCAAGCAACAATAGTGTGCATAGTAGACCATTTNTGTTTGCTTGGTGGTGTAAAGAGTTTGTTCGAGTGGCACTTTGTAGATCATACATAATTGTGTTGTGCTAATAGCATCAACTTGAAAGGAACCAGATATGCATAATGAATGTTGTTTAGTTATACGGATGGAATCTTGTCTTGAAAGAAGGCCATCATGCTCCCTCTTGGAGTGCATTCGGAAGTATATCCGAGCACTCTTTGGATTAATTACGGAAAGGTTAACATGTAAATGCAGAGATATTATTCATGTAAGAGTTTATCAGATATCTTCCTTTCATTGGTTGATTCGATTGCTTTTCATGCTCACGCTTGCTTGACTTTTGCTCTGCCTTAAATATTTCTCAATTACCCTTCTTTAGCCGACCATCCGACTGTTTTATTCTCAATTTCTAGAAGTTGAAGATTTATACTTTTGGATATCGATATTTTACCATCTTGAATACATAGTCAACTGTCACGTACACCGTATACTCGTTCGTAAGATTGATATCATTCTAGCAATGATGTTTTTACTTATGTTTCTTCAGTATTATTACTTGAGCCCCAAGAACATAAATCTAAAACAGCTATACTGTAGAGTGCAAAATCTTGAATTCGGAAGGCTTCATTATCATCCCTCTATTTTTTATTTTTTATTTTTTGCTTACGAAATTATATCTTCAAAAAGAACATTGCTTGATGCATAATATCATTAATAATTTCTGTTCGATACACTAATCGTATGGATGGTGGCGAAACCTAATTTGTAACAGAGCAGAGGTTGTCTTGGATGTTGTTCTAAGCCGCCACTTGTAATTTCTGTGGACGAGCCATCTAAGAGGCTCAAATTTCAAGGCCAGCGCGTGAAAAAACGTAGTTTAACAGAGGATTTTTGGAGCCACACTTCAGGGGATATGGATAACAGATCTTTCCCGTCTCACAGAAGCATCTCGTCAATCAGTACTTCAAATCAAACCATAGATAGTCAGAGTAATGCTGATGGACCAAGCAACCCGTCTGAATTCGTAAATCGTGGCAAGTGCTCTTATACTTTCTTGTAAATTAGGCTTCACACTGAAATATAACTTGAGCTTTTTTTTTTTTTTGAAAAATATAACTTGAGCTTGTGAAGCTGGTAGTGTAAAAAGTCTTCTGTTATGATGTTTAGTTATAGAACTTCTGTTTTGGTCTCAGTTACCATAGTCTCTCTCTCTCATTTAGTTTTGTAATTTTTTAACAGCTGTTACACAATTTTTCCCCTTAGGTTTAGCCTATTACAAGATATTCCATATATCACTCAGAGATACAAATATGACTCTCTTGCATTAGTTTTGGTTGTACAAAAGTGCATCTCAAGAGGGGTTAAGAGGGACCAATTGTATCTAAATACTAAACCCAGGGGGTTAATCCTAATTTTAAAATAGGAGATTTTCTTTGTTATATTTACACATAAACTCGGGGATACTTTTCTTCAATTTAATGCTATGTTTTCAGCAATCTTCAGTTCTGTTCCAATGGGAATAAGCAACCTCTTTATGAATTGCTATTAAACTATCTTATTAGGTGTTGATCCGTAGGAGTTCATGTATATCATGTATGTGTTAAAGTTTAGAAAGATATCATTTAGCCCTGTCTCGCATTTTAATGTGTCAACTGATTTTGGCCTTTCTCTAGCTCTAATGGAACCTCGTAAATTCTCTTTTGAAGGATTTCTTCTTTGGAATCAGACAAGACAACAGTGGATTGGAGTTAAAGGATCTCAAAAGAACAAACAAACACGAGAACCCAAGCTGAGGTACCGATTCTCATATTTTCTTAAGTTTCTACATAGCAACAGATCAGATCATTCTTAAGCCGATTTGATGGTGCCAATGAATATTTGCATCATATTCTTTAGCTCTTAAGTTACTGCTGTTGTGAAATGTTATTTTACTGACATTTATTTTTTTGGGTCGACGTTATGCAGTTGGAATGCGACTTATGAGAATTTGCTTGGGACCAACAAATCATTCCCACAGCCAATCCCATTAGCGGTTAGTATTGGCATAAATTGCATAAACTACCCCTGGTGTTTTTAGCCTAGTTTGGAAAAAGAAGAAAAAAAAAAGCTATCTTTTGAAATGAAAATTTGCCCTTTAACTTTAAGGTATTACTACAATTTACAAAAGTCAACCTGGAGAAAGTCCTCTCTACTTACAAGTAATACATGAAACGAGGGTTATTAGTAACTTTCGAAGAAGCTGGGTCTATTTTGTAACTAGGCTGAATCTCAAGGGTATTTTTTGTGATTAACCAAGAATTTGTTTGTAGTTTCTCTTTGTTTAAATGGGGAAGTAACCTTCAGGAAATGGTGGATTTTCTTGTGGATGTCTGGGAGCAAGAGGGACTCTACGATTGACTTTTGAGAGCATAAGATTTTGCTGCCATTATTTGCTGTACGTTAGCAACTCGTCGGCTGATTTGTTTCCATTATTAGCGAATTTGTAATTAGATTGTGTTATGTCGCCTGTTTCTGCATTTGTGCTTCGTGTGCTGCATGTAGCTGATATCGGACACTAAGTGGAGCATAAATCACCGAGAAATTTAGAACTTCTGTTCTATCGACTTATTTCAATGTTCCCATTTTTTTCTTATCAGTTTCTATGATACATGTAAACTATATCATGCTACAAAAGTGCTTGTGTCCATGAAGAACTGCTTATAATATGAAGCCTTTTGCTACTTACCCTGAAAAACCGAGATGGCAAATTATTCTTTTATCTTCTCCACTTTTTTGGGTTTAGGGGTATCCAGACATAAATATGATATTTATCGAAACTCGCCCGAAAGTGTGGGGCCATTCTTTCAATTTGTTTGTGAAAGGAAGGCCACTCTTAGGGAGAGTTTGTCGGCCCATTTGATGCAAAGGCCCATCTCTAGCCTCAATGATGCATGCAATTTGCAAAACGCACGCCAAAAAGAAAACAAATATCACACCAATTTTTTTAGGGAAATTTTCATGTGTCCTACATGAAATTAAAAATATTGCAATAATACTATCCATATATAAGATATTGTGTTTCTACTTAATTGTGAAAAATATACTACATAAATTCTTAAGATTCAATTACCTATAATTCGGACTACATGATACTCACTCCCCCACGATTTTCGTATTGTTACTAAAAAAGAAAAAGAAAAAAATAACTTCATCAATATGGAATTAAATCATAAGAGTAACGAATTTGCTTGTCAAATGAAAAAACGATACCACGAATCGACCGGATGCCGACAAGAGCATCCTCTGGCCGTCGAGAGTAGCCTCGCCAAAAACGATACCACGCACGAGCACAACCACAGCGAATGGCAGCCCTACTCTCATCGGCGTCTTCGAACATCTCCGATAGCCTTCAAGCGAGCCCGCAAGCAGCTCGACGAAGTGCGAAAAGAAACCGCCGACTCGAAACACGCCGTCACCGTACGAATCGCTTCCCCTTGAGCCGACGGCGCCCAACCTCCACCGCCAGAGCCCGACGATTCCCGTCAGACCGCTGTTGTCCAATTGAACCGATTGGGTACTCATTTGGGACAGATCTTTGGGCCGCCCATCCCGGTTATCTTGTGTCACTGTTTTTATTCTGACTGGCCCTCCATTACCGAAGCCGCAAGCTTTCAATGAGAGTCGTAGTGCTGCTGTGTACAATACTAATAGTTTTCAAATTAATGATTATTTCATAAAATGTTGAACATGTGAAAGTATATGTGCAGTATATTTTGGTACTTGTTCATAGAATAAACTGCGTAGTTTTAATATTTTTGGTTTATATTCAGCAGTTTATTTTTATATCGGCAATCTATATATATATAATTGCTGGCTAATAGTATTTAATAAAATATTTAATAAAAATCATTTCGATTTTCCTCCAAAAACCGTTACAAAATTTATCATTTATATATCTCTCTATATTTAATTACCAACAATAAATCTAGCAATATTAATTATTGCTTACCATCTTTTTATGTTACAATCTTCTATTATTATTATTATCAATCCATCATATCTAATTAATGCTAAAATATTTCATTGCACTTTTTTTTATGGTTAATTAAGACAAAAACCGTTACATTTTATATTAATGGAGTAATAATTATATTATTTTATTATATCATATAATAGCTGTTATTAAAACTAATAACTATAGTTTACACTAAATGATATATGAAAATTACATAAACATAAAAAAATATTGTAACTTTTTGCTAAAGTTATTTATTCTAAAATTAATATTATAACTTTTTATCTTATTTAGCGGTTTTATTTTTAAATAAGTTAATTTATTTTAATGTTATAGTAAAATTCTTTAAAATCGCATAATCAAATGTTATAATAAATGTAATATTTTTAAGCTAATAAATTGGCGATCTCTCAAAATTACATTATTTATTAGATTTTATGTAATTAATATAGTGGTTCATATGCAATCAAATAGTTATGTACTATTAATTTTAACCAATGATCAAATTTTAAAACATAATATCATTATCTAATTTGTATATATTTTTATTATTATATGCATAAATATAACTTATAATACTCTATGTTTAAAATATAATATCATTGTATAACTTATAATTTTAATACTATATACATAAATATAACTTATAATATTCTATTTACACTGTGCAAATGCACATGGTCGAATACTAGTACAAGTATATTTTTGGTTTATGTTCAGTTTATTTTTAGTTTATGTTCAACAATATATTGTTTGATTTATGTTCAATATGTATATTTTTTGTTTATGTAAATATATATACCTAAAAACATAAAATAAGTATGATACCTAAAACATTGGTCTTTACCTAAACAAATATGTCTATATTTTTTGTTTATATTCAGTATTCAGTATAGATACTGAATATATAAACCATAATCTCGGTATATATACCTAAAATATAACCCGAAAAAATGGAACATATATTTTATATACCTACAAAAAATGACCCATACACATGTTGGTATATGTACTTATATACTTATAGATATACATAGTCAGTCAAAAAATTAAGTTGGTGTATTGAAGTAAATTCAACAGAATCTACAAAACATCGAATGTACCACTAGATTACCATAATAGAATAGAACATATGATAGGAATTAAGATAGGTTCAAAATAATGTTGGCATCATCACATCACAATTGTTTCAAAGACAAAACAAGTCATAATTCACAACATCTGAATTCACCCCACCAGGCGTCCTCTCGCCAGAATTCTATTGGCGATCAAAATGCCTTTT